AGCAGCAGTTTTCCCCGGGGGGGGGGGGGGGGGGGGAAAAATACCCCCCCACCAGGCTATGGCGTTAGTGGCCAGGCCCCTAGTAACTTAAAAGACAGCTTCTGTAAGCTAAGACACTTAAGGAACCGCTCAACATCCTTAGTCATCAGAGAAATGCAAATCAGAACAACTCTGAGATTCCATCTTACACTTGTAAGAATGGCCAAGCTCTGAGCAGCTAGGCTGTCGATTTCAGCGAGTCTGTCCACTGTCTGGAGATCTTCAGTTTAGATGAAAGGCAGTTTTGCTCAGTGGTCAGCACTTGGCAATTGAAGCGAATTGCGGATGGATGTTGTTCTGTGTCCATCTGTCTTCTTTGGAGGAAGGAGAGTGCTGTTGCTAGGAACCAACCTGTCTCTTGTTATGAAAAGTTTTTTTTAATAATTAATCATTGAAATGCCACATTCCCCAGATCTCTGAGCAGTTGAGGGCTGTTTATCAGGTGTAACTACAGTATAGAATCTGCCTGGAGAGGTGGGTCTGAGCTTGACTGTACTGGCTCTCAACAGGTAAGATGTACACTCGTAAAAAGACAGAAAGAAGGAAAAAACTGCTTGCAATAGAAGGTTAACGGCAGAATTGACAATAGAGAACTGCTCAGGTCAAGGTAGGCTTGTCTTCCTACAGATTTCTTAGCCCACAGAATCTTCTGGAGCCTGGTAGGCCCTGTGCTAAAAATCAAAAAGCAAATATGATCTTCCGCACCTATGGTGGACCCTGAGGAGTAGTTCTAGGTGCCAACCCAGTAAGTTCTCTGTTGTTTTTTAATCAAAAACTCCTCAAGTAAAATTTTATCCTTCTCAAAGATCTCTGATGCAGTTTGACAGCTGAGAGGTTTTGTCAGTTTAAAAGGACAACCTCACCAAACAAATTTCAACAAAATACAAATACAAATTATGAAGGTGTGTACCTACAAGTTATAAAGGTGTGAGGGCAAATACACACTATAAAATTTCTCATGCTGCTTTCCACAGTCTTAAAAATACTTTTAATTGTGCAAAACTATGTCACAGTCATTCTGACATAAATATGCTACTGTTTATACAATGCATATGTCTAAAACTTCTGTTTTCACAAACCCGAAGAACTCTTGTGAATTCCAGGGTATTGAATGGAAGACTCCACCTTAAACAGGTCAGATACATGTTTCTCAATTTCCTGGTCCTAAAATTTTTTTTCCCCTAAACTTATCTTCATCCTCTGTTCTGTCAATACCTTAAATAGGTGTAAGAGACACCAGGCAGGCATTTCCATACCACAAACACCGGACAGGAGCAAAGAGACCAGCTACCCCAGGATGTGATCAGCACCCATCTTTCTCGGGTTCCCCCCAAGGCAATGCCCACAATAAGTCTTGAGAGTCTGCTGTCCCAATTCCTTTAACCTGTTGTGCCTAACCGCCCACCTTTTATAATAAAAAGATGTGAATGTAAAAAAAAAAAAAGGCCAAGATCAAAAACACTGATGACAACCTTTGCTGGAGAGGAGGTGGGGGAAAGGGAACACTCCTGCATTGCTGGTGGGAGTGCAGGCTGGTACAACCCCTTTGGACGTCAGTGTGGCGATTTCTCAGAAAATTAGGAAACAACATACCTCAAGACCCAGTAATACCACTCTTGGGTATATATCCAAAGGATGCTCAATTGTGCCACGAGGACATGTGCTCAACTATGTTCATAGCAGCATTGTTTGTCATGGCCAGTACCTGGAAACAACCTAAATGCCCCTCAAATTAAGAACGGATAAATAGGGCTGGAGAGATGGCTCAGCGGTTAAGAGCACTGCCTGCTCTTCCAAAGGTCCTGAGTTCAATTCCCAGCAACCACATGGTGGCTCACAACCATCTGTAATGAGATCTGGCGCCCTCTTCTGGCCTGCAGGCATACACACAGGAAGAATATTGTATACATAATAAATAAATAAACAAACAAATAAATAAATAAATATTTTAAAAAAAAGAACGGATAAATAAAATGTGGTACATTTACACAATGGAGTACTACTCAGCAGAAAAAAATAACGACATCTTGAATTTTGCAGGCAAATGGATGGAACTAGAAAACATCATTCTGAGTGAGGTAACCCAGACCCAGAGAGACAATTATCACATGTACTCACTCATAAGTGGTTTTTAAACATAAAGCAAAGAAAACCAGCCTACAAATCACAATCCCAGAGAACCTAGACAACAATGAGGACCCTAAGAGAGACTTACATAGATCTAATCTACATGGGAAGTAGAAAAAGACAAGATCTCCTGAGTAAACTGGAAGCATGGGGACCTTGGGAGAGGGTTGAAGGAGAAGGAAGAGGCAGGGAGGGGAGCAGAGAAAAATGTAGAGCTCAATAAAAATCAATAAAATAAAAAGAAAAACAGTATCTTCCTGCCTCGGCCTCCCGAGTGCTGGGACTGAAGGCGTGCACCACCACGGCCCGGCACGTTTTGTGTGTGTGCATATGTGCGGGCACAAGCATGCCATGATGCAGGAAGGTCAGAGTAGAACTTGAGAGTCAGTTCTTTCCTTCTACCCTGTGGGTTCTGAGGATGAAACTCAGGTCATCAGGCTCGGTGGCAGATGCCCTCACCTGCGGAGCCACCTCCCACGACCCCATTCAGATTTCTTGACTTTGAAGAGCGAGTGGAGCCTGCGTGGCTTTTAGAGCACACTCAACCTGGATCGGCACTACCCAAGACCAGACCTCTACCATGTGCAGACATGACACGCTTGGGCACTGAGTACAAAGATGGTCTGGGAAGGGCACCTCCTCCCGAGCTCAGGAGAAAGCCCTGTGCCCTGGTTAGTTTTTATTTTATTTTTTTATTTTTATTTATTTATTTTTTGAGACAAGCTAGAATTTTCTGGGTGAGGAAATGCCTATTGGCAAGCCTGTGGCATTTTCTTGATTAATAATATAGGTGGGCCCAACCCACTGTGATGGGGTCACCCCTGGGCAGGTCCTGGGTGGTAGAGAAAGCAGACCGAGCAAGCCTTGGAGAGCAAGCCAGTGAGCAAGGCTCCTCCAAGGCCTCAGCTTCAGTTCCTGCCTCCAGGTTCCTGTTTTGAGGTTCTGCCCTGAATTCCCTTTGTGGGAGACTGTGATGTGAAAGTGTCAATCAAATAAAGCCTTTACTCCCAACGTGGTGTCTATCACAACGACAGGAACCTAGTTAGGGAACGCTTGCTCTCTTCTGTCTCAATTTGGTTCCATCCAACCTCGTGTCATCCCCAGCCCCGCTGCAGCCTGCCCAGCCCCTTTGGGAGCCTTTTCTCACCAGTGGTGACTCATGCTGCCCGCACCTGTCCAGTCCCATTATCTCATTGCCTCACTCCCCACCAATGTGAAAACGAGTGATAAATTGGTGTTGGCGGATTGGTGTGTTACCTCAGCTAGGTAACACATTTGCATCGAACAAGAGCAAGCTGAACGCATCTCGGTGAAAAATAGGGATGGTGGGGGGAAGTTTGGCCATGTCAGCAGGCTGGCTAAGGAAATGTTTGAGGGCAGTGGGTCTCTGCTAGGCCTCTAAATCATGCCTCGTCTGGGTGCCTCCAGCTGCCACAAGCTTGGGTGTCATTCCTGGCTGTCAAGGCCAAAGCCACATCAACGCTAAGGAATAAAGTGACGGGCCAGGAGGTTAGAGGGTAAATGGACCTGTCGTTAAGTCCGATAACCTGAGTTTGAGCCCTAGAATCCATCACAGATAAATTCAGGGAGGGTGTACACAGGGCTCAACAATGCTAAAATCCAAGTCTGTGGGTTTGGGAGTTGAAAGGGACTCGGTGAGCTTTTCGGTCACTAGTTGTACAGTTAGTATAAAGCCCCGTTAACGCCAGCCCTTCACTACTCACTTGATAAAGAGGGTCCGAGGCTAGACCCCAAGCACACAGCTGACGATCCGATCTGGCTCCCGACATGAATGCCCCAGACCCAGCTTATTATAGACCAGTGAGTAGTGGGAGGACTAGGGGAGTTTCTGAGGGTGGATGTGTGTTACTGAGAGAATCAGCGGTACAGAAGCTCTTGGGGGTGGCTCGTGTCCCGCAGGACCAACAATGGTCCCCTCTTCGCGTCCATCTCCCCTAGCTTTGCAGTTACCGGAGCTGCCTTGGCTCTCGGAGCTGCTGGATTCCCTAGGAAGTTGCATGGCCTCGGGAGAGGCGCAGGGCCACGCACCGCCGGCAGCTCCCCCACTCACATCCCCCTCCTCCGCGCACAGCCCCGGAAGGGTGCGCGGTAGGACCGCCGCCACGAGGTGGCACCCACGCGCCGAGGAAGCACGAGGCCGCTCCCGGGCCGCCTCCTCATTGGGAACAATGCGGCGCCTCGGGCTGTAGCGCCGCGCGGGACCCCGGAGCCCGGAGCCCGGAGCGCCGGTGGCCGAGAGAGGGGACAAGCGGGCGAGCGGACGAGGGCAGACGTGAGCGCAGCCGTCCCTTCCCCGGAGCCATGGGCGCGGTGGGGCGCGCGGCTGCAGAGCGGCGCGGTCGGGAGGTGCGGGGGGCGGGGGCGCGGGCCTGGGGCAGCCGCTAGCCCGCTCCGAGGGCGCGGGCCCCGGGGATGAGGGCGCCCGCCGCGGGAAGCCCGTCTGCGCGCCGCGGCGCCGTCCCGCCCAGCCAGCGAGCCTGAGCAAGGCAGACGCGCGGCCGGCGATCTGGGGGCGCGCCGCTTCGCCGTCCCCAAAATGTGAAGATAGGAGGGCGGAGACGCAGAGACCGCCCTGCCGGGAGCCCTCGCCGAACCCCCCTGCCCTACGCGTCCAGGCCGCGCCGTCGTCCCCCCCTCTCCCGACCCCGCCGCGGCTGCAGAGCAGCGAAGCCACCGCGCCCCGCGCGCCCTCGGCGCTGCGACCCCCCGGCTTCGGCCCGCAGCGGCTTAGCGTTTCCCGAGGCGGCCGGAACCGGGCCCAGGACGGTGCGTCCGGCCTCGCCCGCGGCTTCTCGCCCAGACAAGTTTGAACAATGATCACAGTCAACCCCGATGGGAAGATAATGGTCAGAAGATGCCTGGTCACCCTGAGACCCTTTCGGTAAAGTTCTCGACTGGTTGGCACTGGGAGGTCAAGACCTCCCCAATGGGGTGGATGGTGGAGCTGGGCGAGGTCCGTCCCTGCTGGGGTTGCAAGTCCAGGTGGCCGAGGGTGTTCACGAGTCGATTCTCGATGAGGACCATGGGAATGGGGAAAGAGATGGAGATGGGGATGGGGGTATGAGATGGGGATGGGGGTATGTGTGTGTGTGGGGGGGACGGAGGATGCAAGTCTGAACCTGTCTTGAGTTGATCAAGATTGGGGCGATATAGGCATGGAGAGGTCAAAATGGAGTCAGAAAACACCAAAATCAAGGAGGTCCTAGGTTCCAAAGTGGTCCTAGCCAGCAACTCTATTTCCTGCCCCAACATCGGTCCTACCTGAGCTGCGAAATTAGTGTGGGGTGCCTCCTAGGCACCCCTGGTGTCCCGCCTGTCGCCTTCTAGGTCGACCCGCCCATCCTTTCTGCCTAGTCCATCCCCCTTTTCCCGCCCTTGTTGCTTTCCCATCCTTCTGGTTGGGTACGAGCCTGTGTCTGACAGGAGGATCCCCAAGATTGTGGCGAGGGCCCCTTCTGCTGGGGACTCCGCTCCCAAATGCGGACTCCAACAGGCTAGACAGGCGCGGCAGGAACATGGAGCAATGACAGAGTTAGATACGCCTCCCTTTCCCCTACCGTGGACAGTCCTAGCCGGATACGGGCGCAGTTTGTGAGGGACTCACTAGGACCTGTTGGTCCTCTGAGGGGACCCTGCTTCCTTCTCTCAGATTCCAGCAGAGCTAGGCCCGCAGGCCAGGCTGGGCAGAGGGTGGTGTGTGTGTATGTGTGTGTGTGTATGTGTGTGTGTGTGTGTGTTGGGTGAGGGGAGAGTGCTGGAGGGAGAGGTGGACACAGTAGTGGGATGGGGCTAGGCCACAGGTGGAGTCTGGTCATAAACCTTGAGACATGCACAGGCTTTCTCCCCGGGCTCTGGACTGATCCCCGGTGCCTCCACACAGCCTTCTGTGCCCAGCTGGATTGGAGGTGGGGAGACATGGCCCACCTGGCCGTTCTGTCAGCATGCTGGGCTGGCTTGGGGCTGAAATGGTAACCACTGGGGACAGTTGTTATGTGTCTATGTAAATGCAAAGGCTTGTGGAATTAGAGAGCTGCTGAGGCTGGCTTTCAGAGTGTTATTTGGAGAGTGTCTCAGAAATCCCTGGCCTAGGGTGCCCTGGGGGAACCAGGTCACTAAGCAGGCTTCTCTGGAAAGACTCTGTCTCCTCCAGGGAGATCCTGGACTCTGACCTGCTGGACATCTTGAGAAGGTTCTTGCTGGTATCAAATCCCAAGTCAGCTTTGTAGCTGGCAGGAAGCCCAGCTTCTGAAGGTTCCTGGTGTGATTCTGGCGTGAAGGTGGCAGGCGGCGGTCTCCAGCACCACGGACAGCGCCCTCGCCCCCTCAGCTAGGTTTCCCTCCTCTGTGTGCCCTTACCTGAAGGCAGGATTCCTGGTGCAGTCGCAACCCCCTTCCAGCCCTGCAACTTCACCTCCTGGTCTGCCTAGGATGGTAGGGACCCATAGCTAACCAGTCTCCTCCAGGTCTCCTGAGATCTTTAGATTGGAGACCAGGGGCAACCCGCTGATTAAATCACCCTAACTTGATTTATCCTTAAAGGATGTCTGGGGATGCTGTTAGTGCAGAGGTCTGGGGAGGGAATGCCCCTGAGATGTCACTTGGATGGACATATGAATGGATGAGACCATTGAGCACACTGTAAATGGCCACTAACTACTTTTGGGGGACCCTGGGCCCCAGATGTGGTAACTGGTACAGAAAGAAAGGCTAAGGCTGTAGATTGAGGCTTCAAAGCTCAGGCAGAAGGTGTAGACAGCTTTCATGGCAAGCATCCGTATCTCCAGCCCTAAATGCAATCCCATGGTTGAGAGAGAGACTGGAGCTAGGACAGCCCTGTTTGTTCTCAGGATGGGAAGAGAGTAGTGGGGACCCCACGAGATATCATGGGTGTGCTCTGAACACCATTCCGGCTTTAGAGGGACTCGGGGAGGTCCCCCTGAAGTAAGAGAAGTGTGCCCTGTGCCACCTCTCCTATTACAGCTCACCATGCTCTCCCCACAAAGTCAGGAACATGGCTGTCCCTGTGGAAGCTACTGGGACCTCCAAGTATTGGTCCTCCCCGCCTCGCTGAAACCAACTCTAACTGCTTCCTTTAAATACGGGCTCAGAATTTGTTGTTTCTTCTTTTCTTTTACAATTATGTGTTTCCTTTAATGGGCCAAATTTTAATTAAAGACTCCACTGACAGTTTAAAATAATGGGGATTAAAATGTATAAAGCAAGCCTTACAGAAAGACACGCACAGGCACCAGGGTCGGAGACAGAGTGGAGGTGGGGCAGGTGGAAGCATCTGGCATGACTTTTGGTCTTCTTGGTCATCCTGGCTCTGTATCAGGTGGGGACAGAGAGCCCCTCCCTCTGACCTGGGGGAAGGGAGGGTCTCCTTTCAGCTCTGCCAGCTCTTTGAGTCCTCCAATGAATTTGGGGTCTCAAGCCTCCTCTGCCTCTGCCATCCCCCAGCTCAGCCCTGTTTGTGCCCAGCGTGGAGTGCTGGGTCTTGCTGAGCTTGAGGCAAGGACTCTGAGCCTCGACTCCTGCTGTCTTTTGGGTTACTCCAGTGTCTGGCACCTCCTAGATAATGAGTATGTATTGAAGGAATGAATGATGTCATGCTTTGGCCTGCTCTCCCTCCCTGCATGACTGCAGGCACATTTGTGTGACACTGCATGCCTGGGTGAGAAGATGGCCCGACTCACGGTGCTGCAGGTTGACAAGCCAGGGTGGGCATGACTGATAGAGAAGTATGTGTGGAGAGTGGGCACAGTGGGGGCGGAGGGGACGTGCCCTGCCGTGAGATATTACCACCCAAGAGTGATGGGGACGTGTGGCACCCTATGAGGACACAGATAAGTGAGCTCGTGACAGATGGCGGAGGCCGTGTACACGGCCCAGGTGATTGAGTGTGGCCCAGGTGATTGAGGCTGGCCCCCTTTCAGATCCCTTCCTGTGTGCACATTCTTCTTGTTTATGGTTTTTTTTTTCTTCTCCATGTGCTCAGTTTTTTTGTCCCATTGAGGATGGAGCCTCCTGGGCCTGGGATCTCCACCCCCAGCTCTGGTTCTTCCCTGAGTGCCCCAGCTCCCTTCTCTCAGTTACCGCTTCTTTGTTGGCTTGAGAGCTCGTTTAGCTGAAGGTGGACTGGAACTTGCCGAGTAGCTGAGGATGACCTTGAACTCCTGAGCCTACTGCAACTACTTCACCCAGCCCACCCACTCATGCTTCTGGCATTTCTATGCCTTTCCTAGCGGGAGTCGGGTACTGGATTGCTGGTGTGCTCTGTTGACCCACCTTGTTCCACTCTCCCTGCAGGCTCTTTGTCCTGGGCATCGGCTTCTTCACTCTCTGCTTCCTGATGACGTCTTTGGGGGGCCAGTTCTCCGCCCGGCGCCTGGGGGACTCACCCTTCACCATCCGCACAGAAGGTATCTGGAGGGCAAGGAGAACCAACAAGATGTCAGGGGGGAGATACCTCTGAGCTCAGCCCCTGTAGCAGGCTTTCTGGGACCTTGGTCTCTGAATATGTAAATGTGTAAGGGGAGACTGAGCCTGCAGTGCCACAGGCATGCTGCTTGGGCCCTGGCCCTGTCACTGCTACCGGGATTCTCAGGCCTAGAAGGGGGGTCTCCCAGGTGTCAGAAGGGACCCTGTGTTGCTTCTTTTCTTGGAGTGTCCCTGATGGTGTCTTTGAATACACCTGTCTCTTTGAGAGTCATGTTAGTAGGTGTGGTTTTCTGGCCTGCCAGCCTACTCCCAAATAACCGCACAGAGACTTCTTAATTACAAATGCTACTAACTAGCTCTTACAACTTAAATTAACCCACATTTCTTTCTACGCTCTGCCACCTGGCAGTACATTTTTTCAGTGCGGCCTGATCATCTGCTTCCTCTGCATTTGGCTCAAGACTCCCCGTGACTCTGCCTTTCTTCTTCCCCCTCATTCACAAGTCCCGCCTAACCTCTATCTGTCTAACTATTGGCCGTTTATTCCCTTATTAAACCAATGAGAACAGATACTCATAGTATACCAAAAGGTCGGTCCACAGCGCATGTTCTGTGCCTTTGACCCCAGCAGAGCTGCGGTGGGGACAGGCCTGCAAAGGGCTCACATGGTTCCTGTCTGAGCACTTGTGATGTTGGTCTCACCTGGTCCTTCTCGGTCCCTGACCTGCATGATGCTGGCGAGGTGTGGAATGGGGATGCAGCGTGTGGGCTTCTGGGACCAGACAGCTGGAGTCTGCATCCCTAGTTGCTAGCTGTGTGGTGTTGCTGAGTTCTTAAGTCACAGGGAAGAGGAGAGAGGGGTTGAGGGAGTAAAGACCCTCTCAGGTGCCGGATTGATCAGGCTGGTGAGCAGAAAGCCCCTGGCACTGTGCTGCCTTCACACAGCTTGAAGGTGACTAGTCCTTGGCCCTGCCCCTCCTCCTTACACCACTCACAGGGCTGCTGGGAGTGAGATAAACGCCTGGGGTTCTGCACAGAGCGCCACAGGGCCTCCTTGGGTCAGTAGTAGGAAGGAGGAGCATGGCGTGGTGGGGGGACGGAGGCAAGTGGGGCTCCTGGGGCTGTCGGTGTTGTGAGGAGCTTTCCGCCTGTCTAGAGAGTCTCTTGGAAATCACCTCCTCGAGCTCCTGGTTCCCAGCGATGAGTACTGCAGGCATCCTGAGAGGCGCGTGTTGTCAGCTCAAGTGGGCTCTGAGTGGCGCTTATTGTGCCATCTGGTAGCCATCCTCCAGCTCATTCCTTGGCTTAGCACGAGTCTTTAAACTCGCAGGCGCTCTCAGAAGGCCACTCACACTTATCACCACCAGCCGTTCCAGTCAAGCGTGGCACCCTGTCTCCGGCTTCCAGAGACCCCTCAATATGTGAGCCTCGCCCCCCTTCTGGCCTCCCCATGGTGGTCATGAGCCTGTGTTATAAGATGCTTGGGGAGGAGATCCCGTGCAGTGATTGTGGGGTGAAGTTTCCACGCTCACGTAGTGTGCATGCTGTGTATGGGAGGGGGTGCTCCAGGGGAGCAAGGGGACCCAGGAGGTGTGTGGGTCTCTACACAGGAGATGCTCAAGGGTTGAGGTTGGAGAAGGGGTGGCAGTGTGGAGGCTGGCTGGGAAGGAGACATAGAAGATAGATGGTTGGGGGCTCAGCCCTGAGAAGGAGGCTTTGGTTCCCTGGGGATGTTCTTAGAAGTTGGTATGTCTGTCTGGGCTTCAAGAACCTAGACCTCGCCGGGCGGTGGTGGTGCACGCCTTTAATCCCAGCACTCGGGAGGCAGAGGCAGGCGGATCTCTGTGAGTTCGAGACCAGCCTGGTCTACAGAGCTAGTGCCAGGACAGGCTCCAAAACCACAGAGAAACCCTGTCTCGAAAAACCAAA